CCGCGTCCTGGGCGAGTCCCGGGCGTCTGATGAATGGCCGTCAGCCCCGCAGGCTCCAGGGTGACGGGACGATGATGGATTGCCCGCTCTTCTCCGCCTGACAATAGAAGGGGACAGGGGGGGGCTGTCAGTGACGGAACAACACGGCCTTTGTCGGGCCGGAGGGGAACACAACAAACAAAATCACCATGGCTTCGGAGGGAGGCTTGGGGGAGAGAGGGTAAAAGTGCAGCCATGTAGGGGGCGGCCGCAGCCACGGGGGTGACCATGGACTCCTGAGGTTCCAGTGAGGAAAAGGTCCTACAATGCTAAATCCGTACTTAAAATATTCAGGAGTGCTAAAGCAGACGTTACCGGCCTTTGCCGCCTGCCGTATCCCATGGCAACCAGACTTAAAGGAGATGTAAACCCGAAAAAAAAAGCTTGACAACAAATGGTTTTCCAAAATAAAAACAAAACATTTCTTATATCACACGGCACGAAAATTCAATGTCACTTTATTTTAGAGTTTACATCAAATCAGATCTTATAAAAGGGTCAGTTGCTTAGGAACTGAGATTTTTGGACTGTGCCGAGTTCCCGGGTCTGTACACCCGCTGTGCCCATTATGAGGAGCTCCCACCATCCCTGAGCTGAGTTCCCGGGTCTGTACACCCGCTGTGCCCATTATGAGGAGCTCCCACCATCCCTGAGCTGAGTTCCCGGGTCTGTACACCCGCTGTGCCCATTATGAGGAGCTCCCACCATCCCTGAGCTGAGTTCCCGGGTCTGTACACCCGCTGTGCCCATTATGAGGAGCTCCCACCATCCCTGAGCTGAGTTCCCGGGTCTGTACACCCGCTGTGCCCATTATGAGGAGCTCCCACCATCCCTGAGCTGAGTTCCCGGGTCTGTACACCCGCTGTGCCCATTATGAGGAGCTCCCACCATCCCTGAGCTGAGTTCCCGGGTCTGTACACCCGCTGTGCCCATTATGAGGAGCTCCCACCATCCCTGAGCTGAGTTCCCGGGTCTGTACACCCGCTGTGCCCATTATGAGGAGCTCCCACCATCCCTGAGCTGAGTTCCCGGGTCTGTACACCCGCTGTGCCCATTATGAGGAGCTCCCACCATCCCTGAGCTGAGTTCCCGGGTCTGTACACCCGCTGTGCCCATTATGAGGAGCTCCCACCATCCCTGAGCTGAGTTCCCGGGTCTGTACACCCGCTGTGCCCATTATGAGGAGCTCCCACCATCCCTGAGCTGAGTTCCCGGGTCTGTACACCCGCTGTGCCCATTATGAGGAGCTCCCACCATCCCTGAGCTGAGTTCCCGGGTCTGTACACCCGCTGTGCCCATTATGAGGAGCTCCCACCATCCCTGAGCTGAGTTCCCGGGTCTGTACACCCGCTGTGCCCATTATGAGGAGCTCCCACCATCCCTGAGCTGAGTTCCCGGGTCTGTACACCCGCTGTGCCCATTATGAGGAGCTCCCACCATCCCTGAGCTGAGTTCCCGGGTCTGTACACCCGCTGTGCCCATTATGAGGAGCTCCCACCATCCCTGAGCTGAGTTCCCGGGTCTGTACACCCGCTGTGCCCATTATGAGGAGCTCCCACCATCCCTGAGCTGAGTTCCCGGGTCTGTACACCCGCTGTGCCCATTATGAGGAGCTCCCACCATCCCTGAGCTGAGTTCCCGGGTCTGTACACCCGCTGTGCCCATTATGAGGAGCTCCCACCATCCCTGAGCTGAGTTCCCGGGTCTGTACACCCGCTGTGCCCATTATGAGGAGCTCCCACCATCCCTGAGCTGAGTTCCCGGGTCTGTACACCCGCTGTGCCCATTATGAGGAGCTCCCACCATCCCTGAGCTGAGTTCCCGGGTCTGTACACCCGCTGTGCCCATTATGAGGAGCTCCCACCATCCCTGAGCTGAGTTCCCGGGTCTGTACACCCGCTGTGCCCATTATGAGGAGCTCCCACCATCCCTGAGCTGAGTTCCCGGGTCTGTACACCCGCTGTGCCCATTATGAGGAGCTCCCACCATCCCTGAGCTGAGTTCCCGGGTCTGTACACCCGCTGTGCCCATTATGAGGAGCTCCCACCATCCCTGAGCTGAGTTCCCGGGTCTGTACACCCGCTGTGCCCATTATGAGGGGATCCCACCATCTCTGAGCTGAGTTCCTGGGTCTGTTCCCATGTCTGCTCATACTTCAATCTGGATAATATTTCTCAATAAACAAGTATGCACTTATATGTGATAAGCAAGGTGCAATGGATCAGGTTGGCAGCCAGATAAGTAGCATTTCATGAGGAGAGGTCAGCGATGACATCCTCCATCTCTCCGTTAGTGGAGCCTCTTTGCTGGCAGGAAGTGACAATGTATACACTGTGTATAGTGATTCCTATATTTGGGCTGTACAAGAGCTCCCTCTAGTGGTCAGTACCATAATATCGGGTGACTTCGGGTAATGCGCAGGAAACGAGCGGCTTTTATCCTTCAATAAAACGCACAACAGGAAGAGCAGCAGACTAGAGAGTAACTGCAGGGGGTGCAGCACAGACTAGGGTAAGGCCACCGGTACTGGACATGATACTAGGGTGTAACCCCAAGGGGTGCTGATCAGACTAGAGTGTAACGCCAGTGAGTGTAAAAGCAGACTAGTGTGTCCCTGAAGAGGGTGCTGAGCAGACCGGGGTATAACCACAGGGGGTGTAGGGCAGACTAGGGTGGTAGGGCCGGGGGTATAGGGCAGACTAGGGTAGTAGGGCAGGGGGTATAGGGCAGACTAGGGCAGGGGGTATAAGGCAGACTAGGGCAGGGGGTATAGGGCAGACTAGGGTAGGGGGTATAGGGCAGACTAGGGTAGGGGGTATAGGGCAGACTAGGGTAGTAGGGCAGGGGGTATAGGGCAGACTAGGGTGGTAGGGCAGGGGGTATAGGGCAGACTAGGGTAGTAGGGCAGGGGGTATAGGGCAGACTAGGGCAGGGGGTGTAGGGCAGACTAGGGTGGTAGGGCAGGGGGTGTAGATCTCACCTGTCCTCCTCCTCTGATGATGATGAAGAATCGGCTCTTCGGTGTTTTTCCTTCTTCTGTTTCTTCTTCTTCTTCTTTTTCTCTTTTTTGGCCTTTTTCCTGCTCGCTGACCTGAAACACATGACACAGCGATGACCAGAGGGAGGGGCCGGAAATGGAACGTCAGGCCGGCCGGCGGACCCGTCACCGCCCTCTCTCTGATCTCAGCATTGCGTAGCAGAGGGAGGGACAATCAGGGAATGAAGGGACCGCAGCGACCGCCATGCCGGGGGTACAATCACCTGGACGCTTTGTCCTCCTCTCCTCCTTCCGCTTTCCTCTTGTCGCTCGGCGCTTCCGGGCGCTCTCCGCCTTTTTGGTGCTGCGAGGAATAACCAGAAATCAATACGTAGGCTGATCTTCGGCGTCACATTTCCATCACGTTGTACGGAATGAAAGCAAGCATACGTTATACACTGAGTGGCCGGATGATTATGACCCCCCCTCCCCCCATCAGTACTTCGCTGGCCCGCCTCGTGACTCCACGAGATGGTGAAAGGTGATGTGAGGAATCTGACACGGCGCTGTCGCCCTTCTGTTGTCTTGTACCAGTCTTGCCCCTCCCCCGTTCTGCCCTAACATTGACTAGTCGCTGACGGCCACAATTCGCACGTTCAGTCTTAGATTTTCCGCTGACAGTCCGGTCTTTAAACACTTTAACAATGAGCTGCTCTTGAACATTTAATGAATTCTGCTGTTTTGCTGATACTCGCTCCATGGCTCCGAGCGCCAAAAATCATCCCGAGGCGTCGTCTCCCATGGCGACAGGAAATATAAAAGACTTACAGTGAAGATGGAGAAACCCATTTTAGTGGCCTCCTTGTCCTCCTTGGAAAGCGTTGTGCGCGCAGAGGAAACGCTGCAGGGACACAAGTGACATAGAACAGGGTGCGGTCATTAAAGAGAACCTGTCACCAGAACCATTCAGTTCAACAACAAAAATGTTCCTATAACATCATAAAAGCATTTAAAGGAGAACTACGAGGTGGGTGCTTTTCACTCACCTCATAGTTCTAGCCGACCTGTGACAATGAGACTGTCACAGGTCGGCTCAGTAGATCAGGAAGTGAGTGAACACATACCGCCGCTCGCTCACTTCTTGATCTATCCCTGCAGAGAGCCAAGACTGTCACTCACGGCTCCCTGCAGGGATTCCCCCCCTCCAGCGCTGACTGGCGGGACAGACGGGGGAGGGAGTGGGCACAGCTGCCTCTAGATAGGCAGAGCCAGCTGTCAGTCACGCAGCTGGGCGGATCTCGACATCGATGTCGGGATCCGCTTCAGGTGCGGCGGCTCAGTATAGCGCGAGCAGCAGCTCCCTAAATACTGAGCTTAGGGTGACGGGAGGACGCTAGTTTGTGTCCTCCCGTTACCCTAAGGAGAACTATGGGGAAAAGCCCTGACCCCATAGTTCTCCTTTAACAAACGTTATGCAGATTATTTACCTGTAAAAACCTCCCCTGTTTACACATCCAACAGCACTGAGGCTTCTGCTGGGGGAGCCGCCATCTTGGATATGATGTCAGCAGACTCAGAGCTGTCACTCCTAGCGCAGCGTTGTCGGTTCTCATGCAAAGCAGCCGTTCAGAATATGCTGCCCGGCGCCGAGTGTCAGCTTGAGGTGAGGTGGGGTGGGCTGAGGTTATGGCCGCGAGGGAGCTCCATACATACGTGCATTGCTTACAGCTCCCTCACGTGTCCTGTAGAGGAGCCTGAACCGGAGTGACATCACATTCTGGCTCTCCAGAAGCTGGACAAGCAATGCACATATGGATGGAGCTCCGTCACAGCACAGCAGCCCACACCGGACCCTAGGCTGAGGGTCCACTCCAGTTCTCATAAGGAAGAGAGACTTTCTGGTGCGGGAGTTGTGTTGCATGGCCATTCATGTAAATGGTACACCAAACGCACCTCCCAACCGCAGTTCGTACGCCCGCGCCGGAACGCGCTGTACCCTAATGCCGTGTGTTCCATTGCAGTGCAGACATTGCAGATTTGGGTCGTGACTTAATGACCGAGGACACATATAGGTCCTGAGGTTACACAGGTTGAGAACCATTGCTCTATAGCATTGCCCTTCACACCTCCCCTGACAGATACATAAAAGGTTATTAGGGAGGGGAGGAGTAGAGGAGCTGGTCCAGCACAGATATAAGCTACTCCTGGAAGAGATCAGGCAGTGACCTGCAAAGGGGGAGGAGCTGTGCTAGGGAACTGACTTTCCCTGGAGTCCACAGATTTGATAGCAGAAGCACATTGCAAGTGAATAAAAAATAATTAACAGAAAGAAAAAAAAAACACTGCGAGTATAACTTAAAAACACTCGCTCTTTCTGCGCTTATTTTATTATTAGGATTGTGCTGTAGCCGACACATGACTCCTCCAGTCCCATTCTTCTCCTTCCTGTGTAATGGCATTGGGCAGGGAGCAGCAGCGACGCAGGCACTACATGTCCCAGAAGTCTGTGCGGTTCAAGCGACTGTGGGCTTGGCCGCTATTTTGGCCAATAGTAATGATCGCCATCTGCCGTGGCGGCATCATTACGTCATCCCTGCAGTCCTAAAAACTACGGGGAGGGGGGGGGCTTACGATGTCAAGAAGCGGGTGCCGAGGGTCGCGGTCATGCAACTGGAAGTTCCCACAAAGCTATTGGCGGAGGAGAATACACAAAGGTGCCCGGCATGCAGAACATGGGGCTGTAATGTGCAGGGGGGAAAAAAAGAAGGGGAGTCGGGAGCCCCTCTGCAGCAAAGATCAATAATTGGGGTTCTTCTTTACCGGTTTAGTTTTTGTTAAATATACGGCTGGGATAGAACTCCTGCACCGCATCCAATCCCTTACCTGCTCCCCAGCCCGCCAACACGGTCCACGCTCCGCTCATCCTTCTCCGGACCTTCCCGCTTGCAGGCTTCAGCAAACTCCTGATGAGAGAGTAGAGTCAGTTCTTATATCTGGAGTAAAGAACACATTTAGGGGCGGAGTTATAAATCTTCCACCCAGCGCGGCTCACGCGATGGAACTACCCCCACAGGATGCAGCTAAGGAGAATAGGACTTTCCTATGCTCCCCGGCTCCATCTAGTGCCATGCAATCAGCATTCGCCCCGGTATATGCTGGGTGAAAGGTTTAGAAAACAACCCCTTAGCCCTCGTTCACGCAATGCAGGTGCGTTTAGGGATTCCTGCGTCAGGAACTTGCAATTTCCTGCAGCAGGAATCCCAAAATCTGCTGTAGACAAGCGGCAGCTGTGACCCGTTCAAGTTAATGATCGGGTGACAGTGGCAGAAATTGAAAGCGGCAGATTTGGTATTCTTGCGCAATCTCTGCGTCCAGGGATAGTGACTGATCGCATCGCATATGATTACGTGCAGTGTGACAGCGATTTCAAATCATCATTATTCGTTAAAGGAGAACTAATACGGGGGGAGGGGGGGGTGCTTTTCACTCACCTCATAGTTCTAGCCGACCTGTGACAATGAGACTGTCACAGGTCGGCTCAGTAGATCGGGAGGTGAGAGAACACATACCGGCGTTCGCTCACCTCTCGATCCTGTCACGGCTCTCTGCCGTGACAGGGGGAGGGGCTGGATTCCCCCCGCTCCGATCCGCCAGCGCTGACTGGCGGAACCGACTGGGGAGGGGGAGGGTACAGCTGGCTCTGCCTCTAGATAGGCAGAGCCAGTTGTCACTCATGCAGCTGGGCGGATCCAGACAGAATTGTTGGGATCCGCTTCAGCTGCGGCGTCTCAGTATACCGCGAGCAGTAGCTCCCTATATACACTAAGCTTGGGGTGACGGGAGGACGCTAGTTTGTGTCCTCCCGTTACCCTAAGGAGAACTATGGGGAAAAGCCCTGACCCCATAGTTCTCCTTTGAACGGGTGACCCCCGCCACTTGTAAATGGCAGATTTGGGATTCCTGCTGCAGGAAAACCTAAACGCGCTCACATTGTAGGCGAGTGTTTTTTTGTTTTAAGCCCGTGGAGCATGCTTACGAAACACCCAAAATGTGAACAAAAAAAGTGCATGTGAACACACAAAAAAGTGCACGGAAGGGGTGCTATCTAAAGGGTCCATCTCCCGAAGAGACAGGGCCCATCCGTGACCCCCCGGGGGTCAAGGCACTCGTGTCCACCTGGCCGAAACCAGGCAGACCCATTCCTCATGGCCAGCCGAAGCCGACCACCGAGTACTAGAAGCCCGCCAACACGGTCCACGCTCCGCTCATCCTTCTCCGGACCTTCCCGCTTGCAGGCTTCAGCAAACTCCTGATGAGAGAGTAGAGTCAGTTCTTATATCTGGAGTAAAGAACACATTTAGGGGCGGAGTTATAAATCTTCCACCCAGCGCGGCTCACGCGATGGAACTACCCCCACAGGATGCAGCTAAGGAGAATAGGACTTTCCTATGCTCCCCGGCTCCATCTAGTGCCATGCAATCAGCATTCGCCCCGGTATATGCTGGGTGAAAGGTTTAGAAAACAACCCCTTAGCCCTCGTTCACGCAATGCAGGTGCGTTTAGGGATTCCTGCGTCAGGAACTTGCAATTTCCTGCAGCAGGAATCCCAAAATCTGCTGTAGACAAGCGGCAGCTGTGACCCGTTCAAGTTAATGATCGGGTGACAGTGGCAGAAATTGAAAGCGGCAGATTTGGTATTCTTGCGCAATCTCTGCGTCCAGGGATAGTGACTGATCGCATCGCATATGATTACGTGCAGTGTGACAGCGATTTCAAATCATCATTATTCGTTAAAGGAGAACTAATACGGGGGGAGGGGGGGGTGCTTTT